GCTTCGACGATTTCAGTGATAAAAGGGTCAACAGTAGTTTCCAGCTGTTGAATTTTGATCAATAAATAGAGGTTATAAAGGTCCTACAATATGGTTTCCAATATTCCTGCCCAAACGTTAATTTTTTCAGGATATTGAGTATGTGTTTCCCGGAAAACGTGAGGATTGGTGTCACTCCAACGGTGTCACGGAATAAATAGACAGTTCAGGATTCACTACTATCCCACCAATCATTTGCACTTGCTGTTCTTCCGGAATGGACGGATGACCTGGGGGCTTTTTGATTCGGAAAACGTTCATTGAGAATCCTTTCGGTCTCGTGAAAGTTACGTGTCGCACCGTGAATAGAAATTACTTCAATTTTTTCTTCCAATGGACGAGAATGGACCATTTTAGAGATTGTTGACGTGGTATCTTTCTACTACTAAATCCGAAAACTAAATGAGAATATTCTAACTGAACAATGATGTTCATTGTCGTACTGATTTTATTTGACGTTTTTATAAACAAAAAATAACTCAACAAACCTTATCGGGTTGTTGCAATTGCCATATGGCAGATAAAAAGGAATATTTCTATAAAAATCGATATTAATGTGTTTGTCTTCAGAAAATGATTAAATGTTTCCGCCATTTTGTAGTAGGTGAAGATATTGCCTTCATATTCTAGGGTTGTGAAGTATTCGTCTGGAGCTTCAAAATGATGTGTCACAAGACCCCCTTTTCTATTTATTTTTTTCCCCAGATGACGTCNTCAAACTAGGAATATAATGAATAAGTGTATGTTTTTTAACGAGAATACTTGTATTTATAAGAAAATAATTTAAGAAAAATGTTCAAAAAAAATTATTTTTCATAATCAATTGATTGATGAAGAAAAGAGAAATGAAACTTTCTATGTTCGTAACCACTTTTATGATTTCCTACCACTTAGGCTACATCCATCAATTAATCATCATCTTTATCACGAACGAGTCTCTGTGATCATCTGTGATGGCGTCATGGTAACAGAATTCAGAGTGGAGATGGAGTGAGAGAGTAATAAATAGAGAAAAATGTATCACACAGCTGCACTCATTTAACTTTATCGACGAATTTTTGTTATTTCGGCTTGAGGAAATCGTCAGATTATATATTTTTCGTTTTCTTTGAATTATTTCCTTCAAAATAAAAAAAATTAGCTATGCTCGAAAATGTCGAAATGACGTTATTTTTTTAGAACTTTGCTGCCCTCCCCTTTCTTTACATCAGTCTCAAATTGTCAGATTACTGGAATATACACTTTTTAGCAGGTAATCAACTCACCCTACCTTAATCTGATGCGCTCGAGGATTTCTGATGATCAATTTTTCTTACCAATCTGATCCTTCATCCCTCACAGGCGGCCTTACATGTGGGGCTCATATTTGGTGGAGGTACTCAATCAGTTACAAGGTATCCCCCTGTATATTAATCTGCTGCGCTTTAATAAATCCCGAAATCCCCGCTTGGGCTCCCCTATTGTTATGTTCATACACAGAGAGTAATACAAATCTAGTAAATACCCTTTATTGGAGTTGTTTTACAGATTCGCAAATGCATAGAACGTTTTACTGAGTTTTATGCAGAGGAATTCGATGTGTTTTTTGAAGTCAAGTTTGTTGTCTAGTTGAATTCCTAAAAATTTTGTCAAGGAAACCGAATCTAAATTTAGTTTCAAGTCATTACACTTACCCAGCTTGCTGAGGAATTCAACGCAAACTGCTTTAGACATATTGTTATATAGAGTTCAATAGACTCGTTGCAATTCTTGATTCGATCATATAACAATGAGTTTGAAAGAAAATTATAAAACCGAACGCAATTCTTGTATGTATCACTGGGCAACAATATTTATGATTTACTATCAAGACGAGATCACGTTTCACAAGGTTCCATCCTTGGCCCGCTCCTGTTCTCTCATTTCTGAGTTTCGTCAGTCCAAAAATAGTTTCGAAATACACACATATGCATGATAGACAGTTTTATATAGGTTTTTCAAGGAAATCAGTTGCACCGACGCTTGATAAATTGTATGATTCAAAAAAACTTCAACTCCTAACTTAAACGTCTTCGAATCGAAAATGAGATTTTTCGGATCAAATGAATAGTCCTGTGAAACTTTCTTCGAGGAATTGAAAACACTGACTTTACCCTGATTGTATAATGGTAATTTGTGTCTACGTTTTCCGGCCAGAAAAGTGAGAATCTCTGGAAAGGAGATTGACTGGCAAGCGCGGGTAAAGTACCTCGGCATTCTAATGGACCGTAGGCTCACTTGGAACACGCACATTATGTACGTTGAGTCAAGGATCGAGGGTCGGATAGCTAGTCTGTACCCTCTGATCAATAGAAAATCAAAAATGAGTCTGAAAAACAAGATTACCATCGATAACACGATGTTCAAGCCTGTCATCATGTATGCTTCAGGCGTCTGGGGACAAGCGGCGCAGTCTAATATCTCCATTCTGAAGGTATTTCAAAATAAACTAATGAGGATGATTGTGAATGCTCCTTAGTTCGTGCGGAACGAAGCCATCCGCAGAGATTTGCAGCTGCCTTCCATTCGGCAGTCCATTCAGTCGAGGAATCGGCGAGTTTTCGAAAGTGCGGAAACTCACGAATATCCGTTAGTTAGGAAAGCTATAGACTATGCTGTAGACGACCCCTCTCGATATAGAAGGCCCCGACACTCTGTCGAATGAAGCCCTCATGTCCCCCGTTAACGGACGAATAGCTTTTTCATCCATCCCACCCCAGCCTGAGGACTTCATACCGCCATTCCCTCAGTCATGAACCCATTTGTCCTTCTTTGACAAAAATCAGCCGAAAGGGTAAGGGAGCTGGGATCCACCCCGATTGAACTGAAGACGTCGGTCAGTAGGATTTGTCCCCCATATGTTGAATCCCATTCATGTAGTAAAAACTCAGTTGGGTAAGAGAAAACCTTTTTTTTCCATAAAACTCCATATATTTGCAATGAGTAATCATAGCTCTCAGCTCGATAAACATTCCGGCAATGTATTTATGGATGATTCATCATTATCAAATGCAGTGCGAGGGTCAGCAGGAAGTAACAATGCAATTGTCGTAATTGGTATTATTCCTATCACGATTGGATCGGAATTGAGAAGCAATCTGTTCAAAATATCCATATTGAAGGCTCGTCGTATTTGTTTCGTGCTTTTGCGGCCTGTTTTGTCCATTGGCCAATTGGAAGCAATGCTTTTTAGATTACTTCAGATCCATGGCACGAGTAGAATATTTATGTAATGTCATGAGATACCACAAGAAGCCTTCAATATACATCTGTGCAGTTTCCTTAGCATAGACAGACTATTTTTCTGATTCGATTTTATGTTGACAATATTTATAGAATCACTTTCGAACAGTTTATGAAATTTGCTTAGAGACCAGTGCTTTCAGCACATAATTCATAATCAGCAAGAAGCGCTCTACCGGGGAACTTTGGGAACATCAACATCTTTGACCTGAAGTCTTCTTGGATTTCAAGTTTTATGTTTGATCGTTGATTTCTCACTTTCAGCTCGTAGCTGGTAACTCACAAGAACAGTGCAGAGTAGTTTCGAAAAAAAAAATTCTTGTGTAGAATGGGCAACCCAAATATGGGCTTCTCTGGATTCACCGTCTTCTTTCTGAGTGACCATAATATTCGACTGTCAATCCGCATTGTGACGAAATCGACGAAATGTACCGAAAAATGAATCAGCAGCAGCCAACACTGGCCAACAGAATATTCGCCAATTAGAACCAAGCAAAAACGGCCTTCGTTTTGCCATTGAATCCTGAGCACACAATTTTTATGCTGACGGAATTAATCGACTTGTATAACGTTGGACAACGTGCACTTATTCGAATGGCGCTCATTTCGATTACATTGAATGAGTATTCACTGAGATAATACAGTTTGAAGAAGACTCATAAAAGCGGATTTTTTCAAAAAAACCCAAATACTTACAACACCAAGGCAAGGAATATGAAGGAGCCTTTTGAAACTCCACCCGTAAGGTTAGGGGTTAGGTTAGGTCCAAAGTGAGAGAATCTATTCAACTCTTCACCGCAACCCGCAAGGGATTATTGTGCCTCACACCTATTCTTACTCGACCAAATGAACCCAGCTTTTTAACGAAGTCAATCAGGTTGTATGGTGAGTGATGTCTCAGGTCAGATGGTAAGAGTACGGCTCTGCCAAACTCTAAAATCCCGATTCGGTCCCCAGCGGGGCAGGCACAAAGGATGTGCTCTGCTGTATCATCATTTTCCAAACACTCACTGTCTTCCGACAGTCCTAGTCTCTGCACATGATGATTCATATGACAGTGACCTGTGAGAAGGCCTGTTAGACATCGTAGTTCATCCCTACTGTAGTCCAACAACTGTATGGTATCAAGCTTCGAAGGTTGAATGAACGCCTTGTAGTGAGCCAATCCTGGAAGATTCTGCCAGAAGTACATAAATCTTCTTGCCATCCAGGTGTTCAATGTTTCTTTGTCAAAGCCTAAAGCGATGCCAATGACAGGTTCTGATTCATCATGAAAAATTATAATTTTTATGTTTTTTACCACTTTTATTTGTAAATAACCTTACTGCAGTTTCTTCCCATAAAGATATTTTCAAAGTATTACAATAAACTGACTGGACTCTCTTACGAACTTTAGTCATTTCTAACATTATAAACATGATACTTTTGCTTCTTAATAAGATATAAAAGAATAATTACATCTGAGTTTTTACAAATTCTACCCTTGAAGCGGCAAAAAAATGGCTGAACCTTTTTATGGTATATTCGTCATTTATGAAGTCAAAAATCACACTTGCGCTCGTGCAATTAATAGATTGCGAATATCATAGTGAACCAACCTCTAGGAAACTTGTGACGTTCCATCCCCATTCCAACGTTCATACACCACCCAGCGACTGAAGCAAATCAATATCGATGCCAAAAAGAAGCGAAACACTCACCGTCTCTTATCTCCTGTCCGCTTTGTCCGGGAGAAGCTTCGGTGAATCCGTGAATGAATATAACCGTCGGCAAGAAGGTATCCACCCCCACCCGGCGAGCAGCTCCCCTTTGGAACGGTTCGATAACTGCCCCATGCTTTGATTGCGTTTTGTTATAAAACACGAACCGAATATCTCTGGAAGCTTTGACTGGACAGCAGTTGGCGCAAAAACCTCTTGGCAAGGCGCTGACTTTCAGCTCGTTCTCGCCTGAAAATAAATTGAATCTGCCATTAGTTCTTTTCGTCAATTAGTCCATACAAGGGATCTAGTTAGGGGGATCGATTAGGAAAAGTTGAGCGTTCTGGAATTTTTCCAAAGCGAAAGTAGCCATTGTGTGTTTCGTGTACAGTGTTTCCAACAAGTTTTGGAATAAGCGACTAATGTTTCCTTCTCAGCATAAAAACTCGCAGCTTGTTATAAACCATTAACTAAGACAATAATATAGACAAATATAGTTCTTTTGACGAACCAGAAATGTTCAAATCAAATCAAATCCAAGATCTGAACATCTTATTGGCAAAGTCTATTAAAGTAAAACGTGTATATGGGACATTAAATTATCAAATATAAAGTATAAAATAATACTTAGAGACAAAAGCAGAATATACGCACAGAACAATATTGAGCCCAGCTGAATAGATACAAATATAAGTACATATAAGTACATGAATATATGAATATTGAGTAAATGTAAATATACAGGGTGTACTATAAGTACCTACGTTAAAATATTCAAGTGACGTATTCTTGAGACAATTTTAAGAAAAAAAGTCTATATGAACTTGTGTCCAAAAATGCTTCGTTTCGGAGATACGGAGTGTTGAAATTGAATTTTTTTGTCGGCTTTTTGAAAATAACCCTAGCAAAAAATAAGTTATTCGTACGAAATTCGGTACCCGGGTTTTTTTCGACGTGGGAAATCATAATTTCGTATTAATTTTCATGTAACATGTAGAGGGCGCTGCGTACGCTGTCATTATTTATTTCAAATTGCCCTAACTATTTTGACAGTGAACTTTTGATACTTTTCATGAAAAAACCTTATTCCTACACCTTTTCCAAGTAAAAAAGGTACACCTCCTCAACAACGCTGGAAATGATCGTTTCCGAAATATTTACAATTTTCTATATCGATGTATATTATTAGCTCGTAGGGCGCTAAGTGAAGTTGCTGAGAACATTACAAAAACTAAGTATGTGGTGGATCTTGTCAAAATAAACAACTTTTTCCTATAAAATGTTTGA